TCGTGCATCCTTCCCATTAATCTTTAATGTTCCTACATTTATACACCATGTAAGATACCTTTTCTAATGGTTTAGGACACTTTTTGGAGGTTAATAGGTTCATATAAATGTTCGGAATCAAACGGGGGTCCGATCGTAGAAGAACGAGATGAAAAACATAGGTTTCAGGCGGCTGGGGTCCACGCACGGTCGTGCGTGGGACACGCACGGTCGTGCGTGCGTGAAGAACATCGAATCCGACCACTGCCGGTTACGCACGATCGTGCGTACCCGGCCACGCACGATCGTGCGTCCACGCACGGCGTGCGTACCGGCACGCACGGTCGTGCGTCCTGCGCGAAAATCACCCGGAGCCACTGCCCCCTACGCACGATCGTGCGTGGGGTTGGACGCACGATCGTGCGTCCCTGTTTTTGGTCAGTTTTGGCCCGAATTTCGCCGTTTGACCCCGTAATGGCTCGCACTCAATCCCTATGACTTATGTCATCAATTTATGGATTAAATATGGACAAAATACACTTGTGAAAGAGGCAATACCTGCAACCGAGTCCGGGTTAGCTCGAGCATCCGCCTCCGTCATCGCATAAACTCTAGCTTGAGTTCTTCCTTGATTCACGGATGGCGCGTTGCTCGTACTCGCTCCCCCATGTCCCCGGCTCGCTTGAGAAGCTCCGGTTTGATTCCGTGTACCCGTCGGACCGCTACTCGGTCCCGATGTCCTTGCCCCACTCAATTGTGGGCAATGTGCCTTCAAATGCCCGGCATCCCCGCATTGAAAACATCTAGGGGGGTCGCGACATTTACCGGAGTGGTTCTTCTTGCAATTGTTGCAACGAGCTACCACTGAGGTTTGTGACCTCGCGCCTTGCCCACTCGGGCCTTGGTTCCCCCTATATGGTGGCGGTGGTGCCCGGAAAGATCCTCCTCCGTGGTTCCCCTTTTTGTTGGAACCTTGGGAGCCATGACTCTCCCACTTTCTCTTTTTCGCCTCCTCGGCGTCTCTCTTCTTCCTTTCTTCCCATTGCTTCTCTCCTTTCAACCCTTGGTCAACCACTTGGGCAAACGTCATGTTAGGCAATTGTGTTGCCCTGTCACGTATCTCCAAGTCTAGAGCATCCCAGAAGTGGTTCACCATCCGGTTCTCGTCACAAGCATACTCAGGTATGTAATCGGCAAGATCCCTGAACTTGTACTCAAGTTCCCTCACCGTCATGTTACCCCCTTGGGTTAGAAGGGTGTATTCCCTCACTTTCTTGTTCACCTCAAAATCCGAGTAATATTGGGCAAAGAATTCCTGTCGGAAATTCTCCCAAGTGACGGTCTCGCCATATTTGCCTTTGGTCCCATCCCACCACTTGGATGCCATACCTTCAAGCAATCTCACCGCAACCCTTAGTTTATATTCGGGGGTGAGTTGCATGTCCAGGGCTGCCTCATTCAGCCGCTTAATCCATTGTGCCGAAACGGAGATGTCACCCGTCCCATCGAACGGTTTGCACCCCAAGTCTCGTGCCTCTTTGATGTATTTGGAGATCCTTATGATTGGACCTCCATCACCCCGACCCCCATGTGGTTCAATGTGGGCCCTAGAGTCGCCATGGCTTCTCCCTCTTGAAGCCCCGCCCGAAGGTTGCCCAGCCCGGCGCCTTCGGCGTTCCCTCCTCTCCTCACGCTCACGGTGGTACTGTTGAAGTAGTGCTTCAATCCGTGCTAAGGAGCCATTTTCCTCCTCATCACTTACATCATCATCATCCCCTTCATAAGGGGTCTCAACCGGTTCAGTTTCCGGTCGATAGGTCGAGTCCTCATAGGACCAGTAGGTTTCACTTTCCGTGTCGACATGACCGTCACTCACGGTCTGTGATTGGCCTCCACGGCCAGCTCCTCTAGATGCCCTAGAGGTCCTTCGACTGCCCTGTCCAGTCTCCACTGGTACACGACCCGTCGGGTTTCTCCTAGTAATCCTGCCACCACGGTCCATTTCTGAAAGAAATTTGGAAGGAGTCGTTAGACTCGTATCAAATGTCAATTGACGGATAGGTACTTAAGACACATTTTGGCTCGAGTCACCGCCATACCAATTGCTAAGGGTACCATCTTAACAATTAGAGACCTTGCAACCCAAGTACCAAAAGCTCTCCAAGTACAAAACTTCTATGCTCATGGTTTTCAAAATCTTTTCAAAAAGAGAATTTTGAGACTTCATTATGAAGTTTATGGACTAAACCTGGCTCTGATACCAACTTAATTGTCACGCCCCGGACCTTCCCGGACACGTCAACAACCCGCCGTACAATACGAATAGTCAACCGCAGTCCAACACATTCATATTATACAAGGCGTCATGAATATCATTCACACATAAGTCATCCATAAACAACATAATAAGTAATTCATAAAGCAGCGGAAAACATTGTTTAAAACAAAAGGGCCACACAGGGCTATTCATGAGCACGCAGGCTCTATAATAAAATATCCATGAGCATGTTTATTAATGTTTAAAATCCGAATGGAGGAAGCACGAACCAAGTCTTCGCTCCTAGATGATCTCTCGAGCAACGAGCACAGGAAACAAGCTCTAGCCTCAACCTGAAAAATGGTGGTGGGACGCCCCCGAAGGGGTCAGCACTCTATAGGGCTATAAAGTGCTGGTGTGGCAGGCATCTAATAGATATACAACAAGTATTTCAAACACAAGACCCTCAAATAGGGTGATAGTATATTATGATTGTAACCCTAAGTTACCCCGTTTAAAAATATACTTACTTTATATAAAAGTCAAGTAGCCGGCCCGTGGGCCCATGTTCATTTGGAAATCACCATTCCCAACCCCGTGACTATAAGCCACGACAACTCCTAGAGTCCAACCCTAGTACATGACATTGTATTCTAGAGCTCGGCTCTACCACATCACCATACAATTCATATACCTCGGGTCAATCTCCCTACCTTGCGTTCTAGAGCTCGGCTCTATCACATCACCACGCAAGTCCTAGAGCTCGGCTCTAGCTATACAATACATAGACTCCAAGTCTACACCTTACATGCATTCTAGAGCTCGGCTCTATCACATCACCATGCATTAAGGTCCAATTCTCAAGCAACCCTATGCCTAGAATTGACATATCATTAAGCTACCATGGGTCATCCTTAAAGACTCCCCATAACTTAACCTTAGTCCCATACTAAGTTATCATATACACTTGAACTACATTCAAGTACCTTTCATACAATCCAATCCCTAGGATCAATTTAATCAACAAGTTCCAATAATCACTAACTAGTATTCCAATACTATTAAGATTATTGTTATCGTACCATTATCCTCATTGTTTGTAATTCTCTACATATTTATAATTATGTAGCAGCAACTTAAGTATTCAATCTCAATACACAAATATTCATTTATGTATCCAGATGATTCATACATGAGCAAAATGCCCATTTTCACAAAATAGTTCATTTATACTCATTTAATCTCATATTATTCATACTTTCTCAAATCATTCCAAATTCATTCTTTGGCAACTATATCAATATTTCATCAATATATAGTCATCATAATCCATGAAAAATCATGATTTAAGCATTTAGGTAATCTCATGCTTAACCTACAAGTTGTAAGCAATTAGATGTCAATCCTCACCTCAATTGAGCTTTAAACTTTCCCTTCTTGGTCCAATGGTCAAATCTTTGGTCAAGGTGGATTTGGGACTGATTCCTTGCTCAAATATGAGTGTTAAACAGCCTCCTCAAAGTGCTAGTTCAACCCTTAATCGTTGATACGAAAACAGCCCCTAGAACGGGTGTTTTCCGGCTAACTCGATTCCTAGTTTTCCAATATTTGCATCTAGGTTAGTATCTAACCTTTACATCAATAAGATAACTTTTTAGGGACATATTATACACTTGGATTAGTGTATAATAGTCTCACCAATCGTTCATATCATTTGGAGAATGAAAAGTAAAGCTTTGGGGTTAAAACTCACTTTAGAAGATTAAATCCTCTCCTGCGAGGTTGTGTTTTGCTCGGACGATTTGGAAGCCTTCCACAACTCCGATTCCTGCAAACCAGACCTTCACGGATTCCTCGTCTTGAGAGCTTTCTGTGGGTATCTCACACGCCTTAATTGGACTTGTAAAACTCGAGATATCGACCAAACAGTCTCAGCACTCTCACAGCTCGAGTTCACAGACCTTTGCTCGTTCCAGCTCGATTTTTGCAAGATAAGCCTTCTCTCCTCGAACAAAGACCACTCAATTGAGATAATAGACTTCAAAGGCTATCCAAGGACACCTCATACACGTTATTTGGTTGAGGATAGCTCCTATAATGAGAGGAGACAAACAGCACACCAATTTGTGCGAAAATAAGAGTGGTGGCCCCAAACTTTGATTCTTATCAAGTCATGTGCAGCTCTTCTCCATAATGGCCGGCCAAGGTAAGTCTCCTAACCCATTTTTATTTGTTTTGCAGGTACTAATACCATGTGGAGTGGTTCCCAATTGATCCCATTAAATTTGGGGTCCAAAATATCTACCAATACTTCCAAAAAATGGGAAGATGGGTCCTATTGTTTTATCTTTGTCAAAGATGTCTTTTTGTACTCATCCTAATTTATTTAGAACAAGTCAACTTCCTAAATCACATTATTGATCTCCAATATGTGTAGGCTCATCCCAATAATTTACACGATGAAAATTACAAAAGAATGCGGGTTTGAACAATACAATATTCAATCATGTACTTCGTAAAATATTAATCGTTTCTCCCATTGTTTTGAAATTGGAAATTCAATACATCACTTTTGAATTTTTAAATCGAATTTTCAAGGACGTTCGGGTGCGGTGTCACATTAATCATGTGTGAACTTTTCTGATCTGGTCTGACCTGAATCTTTCTGATCTGATCTGAATGCTTCTGATCTGATTTGAATCTTTGTGATCTGAATTTTTCTGATCTGATCTGATCTGAATAAAATAAGAATAAGCAATAAGTAATAAGAATAAGACGAACAGAACAGCTTCTAAGTCACTTCATATGCTTCGTCTATAACTTCATCAATTTCAACTGAATAAGCCGATTAAGCAAACTTTAGTGTTATCAAACGAGCCCTAAGGAATACTCATGTAGTCTAATATAGTCTTTCACTTTTTTCACCTCAACCACAATAATACATTTTTAGTTTTTTATTTATAAGTGTGTCAATTTAAAGTTAACTCAAGACGGAGTATATATTACCGTACGATCAATTTTTCATGACTGAATAAAGAAACTTATAACAATTAATGTTTTCATCACAATCCCTATTTCATTTTAAAATCCTACAAATATAAATTACAATGATTATGATTACCCTCAATTTTCCACTTATCCCTAGAATTTTCCAACAACAAAAAACTCTGAAAAGTCAGAAACAAAATTACTCCGTAAAAGAATTGAAGCATAACACAGTGGAGAGACCCTTCTGCAAGAGAATGCAGCCGCTGAGGCTATAAATACATACTAGCTAGTATTATCAGTTTATCACAAGCTGAGGCTATAAATGCATATTATTGCAAGTGAATCTTTTCCTTCATTCTGTGGGTATATTTTTTTTATAAAGACAATAAAGATTGGTAGAGGTAGAAAAATAAAAGTTACGTTTTTGGGTGGGTTCGAGAGGCACCAAGAATGGGAAGGGGTAGGGTTGAGCTGAAGAGAATAGAGAACAAGATCAATAGGCAAGTGACTTTTGCTAAGAGAAGGAATGGTCTGCTGAAAAAAGCTTATGAACTCTCTGTTCTTTGTGATGCTGAGGTTGCTCTCATCATCTTCTCCAATAGGGGAAAGCTCTACGAGTTCTGCAGTAGCTCTAGGTATATAAAGTTATAAACTTGAGAGAAAATGAAAATTATACAGATTTTTTTTCTTGTAAAAAGCAAGTTAATTTATTAACAAAGATTTCATCTTTAAGGAAATAAAGGATACCCCTTTTCTTGGAATGTTTGTTCTTTTATTATGTATCACTAAATTGTTTGTTAATTACCAATTATTAGTATTTCCCTTTTGTTTAGAGATCCAAATGACTAAGGAATGTAAAGGGAAAGTGTTATGTTTTTTGGTGTAGTAGATTTGCCATTTTTGTGATTGGTTTTGTGTGTATAGAACTTTGTGCTTGAAGGGCTTGTTAGATCTGCAAGAGGAAACCATGAAAAGAAGATAATTTAAAAATAAGAAAAAATATTTTCTATTTATGCTGAGTTTTTCTCTCTTCTTGTGATGCCCTCTTGTCTTCTTCTCTTCTTCTTCCCACCATAAGTCTTCATCTTTTCTACTCTTTCTTCTTTTGCACTTCACATGACAATTTTGAAGTGTACTTTTTCTTGTTTTTCAGATGTATATAAACACCCATACACACATATTTCTTCATCTATAATTCCGTATTTCATTTTCCATTTCCTCATGTAAGATTATCATTACCCTTCAGCTAAAGATTGGATCTTGAAGATGATATTTGGTAAATCTTTCAGTAATTTCATTCATAAGAGTCTTCAGTTATTTTATGGTTCACTGTTAGTAACTTGGTTATGGTTATGCTAGCTAGGGTTTCAATTTCAACTCTCTCTCTTTTGAAAACCTATTTTTTAGTGGCTATGTGATAAAGAAAAGCCTTAAAGATGAAGCCGTGTCTTCTAAATCACAATATTATTGTTCCATTTTAAAGTTAATCTTCCACTAAAAACCTTTTAATTTCACCACCCCTCTTAATTAATTTACAAAAAGTTAGATTAGCAAAAAAAACTAAGCTGCTGTGAAATTTAAGTGTTTGGAGGCTGGATTATATATTTAAAGGTCTGCACTTATTAACAGTGTATTTAATTCTAGGGTTTTGTTTTTGGTGAAATAACAATTATTAGGCCCATGAAACATTCACAAGTGGTTAGGATCTCTCGTGTTCTCAATTTGTTCACAGGTCAATTAAATGGATTTTGATATAAATCAGTTGGTTGATATGATGTTGTCTAATCTGATTTTGTTGGTGTTATATTTTTGAATCACAGGCAGTATAATGTCCAGTTCCTGGATGAGTCTGCAGGTTCCTCCGAGGAATCAATCTATCAGTGTTTTCAAATTAAATCATAAGATTTTCATTTTTTTTCATTTCCTCCTTTTTAGGGAAAATTAAAAACAAATTAATTATTTCAGTTCGAAAAAATAAAAAAAAAAATCTAAAAAAAATTTATGAAGTGTATGTGAACAAGAAATTACAACGGAAGGTTTAAATATTAAAATTATTTAATATATAAATGTATGCCATTTCTCTCCAGCATGCTCAAGACATTAGAGAGGTACCAGAAGTGTAACTATGGAGCTCCAGAAACAAATATATCGTCAAGGGAGGCTCTGGTAATTAAGTATTCTCAACTCACTATTTCCTCTAGTATGATTTCTTTTTTGTGGGAATGCAATAAGAAAAATCTGTTCCACTAATTTCATAGTAAAAATAATATCATACTCTGATCTATGAGTGCTGATTAAGCTTTAAAAACCAACACTTTAGAAAATCTATAAAAGAATTGTTGTTGCGTTATTTTAGTCAGAAGGGGATTATTAAACATATCAAAATTATGTCTAATATAATTTAAAAAAGAAAACATATAAAACTGCACTTAAGAGGAATTGATCATGCTTGTGCTTCTTTTTCAAAAACAGTAAAATCAGAATCAGTTTTTCAGAAACTAGTATTTGTCATAAAAAAACGGTTTCTATGAGTAATTTCGAGCACTTGGAATTACTTCTGCACTTCCACTTAAACATTTCAATATCTGTTTATATTCCTTCGTGTTTCAAGAATCAAATCCAGACACTCCCTAAATTGTGACTCCGCCGCTCAGCGAGACCTTGTTTGGTAACCGGTAATTAGAGAGAACCATGACTTGAAAGGTAGGAATTCATCAAATTCCCTAGAATTAAAAAAAACATTCTCGATGTTTTTCTAAAATATTATTAAAATGAAATTTAAACAACAAAAATTGACTATATTTTTTTGAGAAATATATTAAAATGAAATTTATATACATGAATATGACTAAAAGTATTGTGAGTATACTCGTATAATCACTACAATATAAAATTGGTGCTAGTCATACTTACTAGAAGTTACTCCGTATTAAATCACATTTTTGTCAAATAACATTTTTAGACAGGTATTATCCATTATTTCTAGTGATGACAGTTCAAAAAAGAACTACTCCCGTTGTTCCATATTCATTTTTCATTTTTTCTCTTAAATTAAATCAAGTGCAAATAATATTTGGGAGGTTATATTATTGAGACATATAGAGTAATAAATAATGTTTAGTCTAATTTGAAGAAGAGAACATAATAATTAATCGTATTTATGTAAACATGATATAAACTATTAAACTCTATATATGTTTTCAGTGATCAAAGGTCTTTACTTTTTGTACTCTTAATTTGTTCCAAAGTCGAGTCTTACACCATTTTTGGTAATAAGCTGATTTGGGAGAACTACAACCAATGATGTTACCGGGAGGTCACATTTGGCTGGATCAGTATATAGATTTTTTAGATAACCTTTTAAGACAAATTCTATTTAGGGATAATTATAAAAATGTACTTGTACTGTGGTTGAACACATTTCCAAATAGGAGTAGTTTGTGTTTTCAATTTGAGGCTCTCTGTCTTAACGTCCTAAAAAAAGAAGGCGATGTGTATGCTTAATCAATATTAATTTGTCCATGATACCAAAGTTAGTGCACACGGTATACATATAATAGACAATTAAGAATTCAAGTATTTATTTATATACATGAATTGTTCAAAGTGATGTACTCCGTGATACATCACTTTTTTATACACGGAGTACATGTAGACGGAGGCTCTATTAGTGCTATCGAATTGAAAACACATGCTGGATTTTGTGAGAAAATGAATCCCAAACCACATTTTAAAACAAAATCACAATACATTTTATACATAAAATCAATATTTTTATAAAATTTGGGATGGGTTAGGACCATTGACCTTCTAACTATATGCACACTTCACTACAAATATATCCAAATTAAATGAATCCATGTATGTGATGATGGAGTACTAAGATACAATGAAGATGTTTGTATATCGTCTCAATGGAGTGATTCTATTTCTAGGTATATTGATAATATACTCGGAGAAGTCATGAGAAAATTATGACCAAAATGAAAATAATAGATAAAAGAGATGATGTATAGTGCCCAAATACTCCAACACATGTAAATGAGTAATAGTATTTTCACAATAACCTCATTGATCATTTCGGTATTTCACTTTATAGTATGATGAGAGTAAATGCGGTGATATGTTTCATGCATTGACCATGAAGGTAATCATGTCGTTATGACGTTATGATCCATAAGATTCGTATTAATAAGACTACGTATGATAATGAAATTCATATTTAATTAAGAAAAAAATTAAATGAATTTGAACTGAATAGAAGTAAAAGTATGTAATAATATGTTCTTAAATAGTATTCCCTGATTCCCATATCTTTATCCTATTTTACCATCTTCATCTTTTTTTTACTCGAGGGGGTCTTGGGGAAGTCTAGAGTAATCAGGGCTGAAACTAACTCTATTGAGTTTCCAACCCTTGTGTGCCTAGCGAGATTCGAACTCGCGACCTCCCAATAGGCACGGTAACCTCACAACCAGCTGGGCTGGAATGTTTGGTTTTTACATTCTTCATCCATCTCATTAAGTTTACCTCATACTCCGTATCATATTCGATAATATTTGGACAATTGTAATTTATTTTGATTATTTTATTCAGACTATAAATTCATTGCAAATAATATGTAACGTAATATAATTTTACTTTTCTTAATTATTGTGTCACCTCTTGTTCCAATCTTAGGGGCGGAAGTAGTAGTAGGATTACATATTTTTCTAAATATGAGTGATTGCTTGACAGTATTGTTATATTGTGGAATTAATATCTGATTATAATAAAATGTGATAGTATGATTTCAAGATTTTTTTTGAAAAAAACAATTAAGCAAACATATTATCAAACTTTCAATTGGAAATGTCCATAAGATGATAAGAAGCTATCTATTTATTACTATCCCCTATAAATTGTCATGTCCAAATTTTTGGGGTAGGAGAATCCATGTACTCGTACAAGTCTGGTTTAGATCAATTAAGTACAATTCGTTCAATGACACAGTCTAGGACGTTTATTCTTAAGTCCAAGAGGTATTAGAGCTTATCCACTGTAAAAACAGACTACAAGAAATCTTACAAAACTTTGAAAAGTAAACAAAAGGTCACATTCTGAAAATTTCATCGAAGTTACAAAGCACTTCACTAAACTTTTGTCTCTACTGTGAGAAGCGCAGAATAATTAAATGCTATATACATTCTTAGATATATGCTTGTATTGTCGTGTCAAAGTTTTATATTACCTCCCTAACATAAAAATCTTCTCATTTCAAAAGTAGGTAGATTAAGAATAGTGAAAGAGGATATGAATTATTGAGGGTATGATGGGAAGATAGTGGAATAATGTGATGGAATGTAGGATAAATACAAAAAAAGTAGTTGTAATAGTGTATTATTCTAAGAATTATTGAGGGTATGATAGGAAGATTTAGAAATGAGAAGATTTTTTGTTACGAACGAAAAAAGAAAGTGGGAAGATTTTTTTGTTACGGAGGGAGTAAATGGTTATTACCCCAAATATGACGGCCACAGCATCCTATATATTGTTCAAATAACTTACATGAAGTCATATTGCGTGATATAATATCAGAAGTCCTGTGTACATACTTGGTCTCGGAGGATTTTGGAGGGAGTGGAGAGGAAGGAGAAGCTTAAAACCCATTTGTTTTTTTTTGGAAGTTCTTGAAATTGGAAGAAATGGTTTTAGAAATGTATCTAAGTCAAAACCTTTCACACATTCATTCTTTGTTTCCCTCGAAAAGAGGGAGTTTTGGAAGGTTTTGAAAAGTCATATATGCACATATATGGCTCACCAACAACCATTCATTTTTATAGTGGAAGATCCCACTCTAAAATGGATGGTTATTGGAAAGTCATATATGTATGTGCATATATATGACTCCATAAGGAAGTCTAATTTCACAAAATTTCCTATGTTTTGGCTCAATTTAGTTCCAGAAATAGAACCAGACCCACTCATGATACTCTTACAACAGAAATCACTTATAATAGTGTAAATGGGTAATCAAATCATAGAATTGAAATCAAAATGACATTGGAAAATTCTCTAAATAGGAGTTAAAAAGTTTTAAAATTCTAAAATAGGACTGTATGTCATATCTTTATTTCCTAAATAGGGGTAATTTATGTCAAGTTTGGCATTATCAGGCTTTAAACCTGGCGGGGTTTTCCAAACTTGGCAGAAATTACTCCTATTTAGGGAATAAAAACCTAAATGTCATATTTTGGAATTTTACTTCTATTCAGAACAATTTCCATTTGGATAATGGTTATAAAAAAGCATGTACTATAAACCCTCAAAGCTTTTCCCTCTCCTTCCCACCGAATTCCCAAACATAACCGTGAGATCAGAGTACGGTTTTAGATTTGGTTGCATAGGAAAATAAATATCTGGTCACGCAACAAATTCTTTGGATAATACTACGTATATGATTTGCTTTACTCATCCTATGCCTTATGTGACATAATGTCTATCACGGTTGGGAAGTTTTGTGTTAAAAAGATGGAAGCAAATCGTGTGCTTATTGATCAGAGTACGTATATACATAGATGATAGATCTTGTATCATGTATGTATATTACGGAGTATAACGTATATGGTCTAGTTTGAAAATTCCATAGTACCCACGTAGTAAGATAATGCTTGAATTGGCCAGTAGACCTTGCATGCACGTTCTAGTCATTATGTAGATCTCAATTACTACGTTTTTTTTTTTGCATATATAAATACCCACGGTTATTACGTGGGTATATAAAATCGTATTTTCTTTTGCATATATAAATACTCAATTACGTTCTAGTCTTTATATATTTATTTGCATATATAAACAGGGCCGTCTAATGAATTTGGAGGCCCCGGTTCAAAATGGCAAATTGAGGCCCTCTAAAATGATAAAGAATAACAAATTTAATAATGAAATACAAAAAGACTATATAGTTAAATAAATTATAAGTTTTATAATGTTTAAAATACACAAATTAAACAATCTTCAAGTAATATTACATCGCTGATGAAAATCCACATGAATATGATTGTCCTCCTAGCAGTTTTCGAAGCAAAACCATCACTTAAATCTTTATACTCTATCTTGTAGAGAGCTTCATTCACAATTTGATATCATTGTCAAACCATTGAGTCTTTGTTGTGACATAACACACGTTTTAGAATATGAACTAATTAATACACAATAGATAGAAAAATCAACGTATAACTAGTACATGTATGACACATACTAAATATTTGGAGGCCCTCTATAAACGTGGGCCCCGGTGCGAAGCACCTATTGCAACTCCTAAAAGACGGCCTTGTATATAAATACCCACTCTGTACAATTTTAAAAATTGCTCACATTAGGAGTAGAATATGTGAATTTTTTTAAAATAGGCGTAGGTGTGTTTTCTTCTCAAAACATGACTTGTTCGATTCCATTAAAAGAATAAAAAGGAAAAAAAAAACTTCTCTATAGAGAAGTATATGATTTCTATTTTGCTAAGAAAATAAATTTACTACTGTGAATCTTTTACCAAGGCTTTACAAAAATGTGAGGCCTTAATCTGTTTTCTAGACCAACTCTAGAATCTTAACTCCCGTATTTACATTAGCATCACCACACTTTTTAATGATACATAGATGTAATCCATTTTAGTGTAGAGTGTGTTCTAAAGGGCGTCAAAAGGCGGGCCCAGAGCGCACCTAGGCATGAACCAATGGGAAACATCCGGCATGATAGAAAGACGTGGAAAAAATGATCAATTAAAGAGTTGATCACCAAAGGCGTGAAAATGAGCGAAAGACAAGGTCTAGACATGAAAAGGCGAAAGTTTCTTAAATAAATTATTTTCTGCAAAAGAAAGAGTTGATTATATTTAAAAAATCATTTTTAAAAACATGTTTTAGTACGTACTACGTATATGGAATCGGATTCAGAGACACAGAGTACTAAAAACAATGCGATATACGAGTATCATTTACATTTGTACATTTTTATATGCGGTACATTTTAAAATTAGTTATACTTCGTATTAAATAATGTAAAAATTAGGCTTAATCTCGTAAAAAACAAATTGGACATTTATTCTTTTTTTATATATATCATTATAATATACAGAGTAGTAATGTTCAATAAAAATTTAAAATACATTGTCACGTCTAGGTTTTAGATATTATCATATATCATTTTAATCTAAAATACATTAATTGAGATTTAGCCTTGAATTAGCGTCTTGTCTCGATTGACGCTTCACATTTTTTAGAACACTTATTTAAATTATTTTGTGTGTATCCATATTAAGGGTCTGTTTGCAACAGCTTCTACTTTTAAAAAAGTGCTTTTTTTAATGAAATGGGGAGAAGTGATTAAATAAAAGTTGATAGTGTTTGAGAAAAAAGTGATTTTGAAAAGTAAAAGTGGGTAGTGTTTGGTAAAATAAGTGCTTTTTGTGTAATAGAAAAAGTAAAAGCACTTTTGACGCGGAAGCCGAGAAAAATAAAAGTTGTAGTGTTTGGGAAAATAAGTGCTTTTTTAAAGCCAAAAGCTGAGAAGTGCTTTTTTAAAAGGAGTTGCAAACCAACCCTAATTCTTTTAATTTTGTATATATGGTCATAAATGGTTGCAGGAGATTAGTAGTCAGCATGAGTATCTAAAACTGAAAGCAAGATATGAAGCTTTGCAGAGATCACAAAGGTATATTTAATTCAAGAAACTAGACCCTCTCAAATGTTTCACTTTAGCAAGATATGTTGCTTTGCAAGTATATGACCTTTGTATTAGACCTTTTTTTGAACGCACCTTTTTAGTAGACCTTGTGAAAAAATTTCTTGCAGTATACAGAGTGCTATTTTAATTTTAGTGCATATGGAACCCTGGGTTTTAATATAGTATGAGAGTCAAGTTCGATTATGGTGTGACTGGTTATTTAACCCTCATGAGGAAGCATAGTTTGTTAAGGGTTTTAGTTGGACAATAAAATATTAGACTATAAAACTGTTATTTTTAGATTGACATTTTAGAATGAAACACAAGATCTTAACAACTCCATATAATTTTTATATGAAAAGTATGAGTTTTTGTCACTTTCATTTCACCGGCTATTGTATAAAATGCCACTTTTGATACTTCACTTATAATCACTCAAATAATATGAGAGTGAGACTTTAGGTCATCGACTTTGGACTTTTTCACATTTAGTTCTTTAAATATTGTAAAAGTTGCACTCCTATCATAGTGACATTTTTTGTCCTTCATTTTTTATGAAAAAATAAGATAGAAGAAAAATTGAAAGTGTCACTTTTATAAAAGTCATGGGGTAAATGTGAAAAATTTCAAATACGGATACCAATAGTGTCTATATCACAATAGTTCAAGGACCAAAAGTGAACACATTTAAAGAGGGACCTAAAAGTAAAATGTGTCATGGATGTAGTAATTGATGGACTAAAAGAGGCTAAAACTGGGAAAATTACATTGAGTACCGACTGTTATTCCAAATAATTTAGATCATATTTCAAGAGATACCATGAATTGGAACATTTCAAGTACCAATTGCATCAATGCCATTTGTGATGGTAGTGTTTGTGCTATTATCCCGCAAAATACATTGCTAATAGTTTCTGGACCATTTGATCCAATAGTGAAATTGGTGTTGATTTTAATCCCTTCATCCTATTACAGTAGAAATTATCATTTTTTCCAAAAAAAAATGTACTACACAATTTTGAGTAATTAATTTATACTCTGTAGTTCACTAGTTCTTATTTCACTTGCATAGGTACACATTTTTTGTACTTAGACAAACATAAAAGCAAACATTTCTTAACTCCTCAAAGTGTCACTCGATCTGCTGACATCACATCTCTTTATCCCAAAAGCAAGCATGTTGCTTGCTAAGTACCTAATCAGAATTTTATTTGTCTTTTCTTTTGCGGTTGAGACAACAGGAATCTTCTAGGGGAAGATCTTGGCCCTTTGAACAGCAAGGATCTTGAATCTCTTGAGAGGCAGCTTGATATGTCACTGAAGCATATCAGATCAACTAGGGTAAGCGCTTGTCCACTCCATAATGATCATTATGATTAGCTTAATCATTATTGTCTTATAACCCATAAAATTTGGTTAATTTTACTTGTATTTGGAATAATAAAAGAAATACTATGATCTAGGTTTGTATATACAAAGAAGAAAGAATATGAACTTCAAATTGTTTCTTTAAAAAGAAATGAAGATTTTCTGGGACCACTAAATAAAGAAAGTTTACAATTTTTAATGGGATGAAGGAATGTTTAATGGGATGAAGGGGAAATACTTCATTTCAGAATCATGAGCTAGCTTGTCCCGCGCTTTGATCAATCATAAGCTAGCTTGTTTAACTGATAATTGCAAGCACGTGATGATACAAATATTGACGGTTTTCTATTTTTGTGTGTGAATATTTTAATGAAAATGCAGAAAGTTTTGATCAATTGGACTAAAATTGAGTCTTCACAAATGTTCGAGATTAAACCGAAACCAACAAAAAGTTGTTTGATAAAGATTAGAATTATCCCTTATAATGAACACCTCGACTTTTTCATTCTTGCAGACTCAACTGATGTTAGATCAACTAACAGAACTGCAGAGGAAGGTATGAACAGGTCTATTATGTTATGTGATGAGATTATGTACTACTCTCCAGTAGTTATTTTCTCCTACAGTTTGTTCTTACAGACTATTCAAATCATTGTCTCTTCAGGAACATGCCCTAAATGAAGCAAACAAGAGCTTGAAACAAAGGGTATGTGTGATGTGTATGAATTACATTGTGGAGATGTTTCTTGAAATGTTTTAAAGCATACGGTTAGGCTAGGAGGCAGGTCCGGATCTAGCAAACGCTCAAGGATTATTAGGTGTTACTGTGTTAGCCAGGATCAAAGTCATCGGGCTCAATCTGCTAATTTCCCGTAGCGAAAAGTGCTTAATACTACGTAACAATTATCTCAGCCAAATAAGTTATTTATGAAAAATTTCAATTTTCCTTATGTGGATAAGCAGAATAAGCCAAAACTAATTGCCAAACAGAGTCCAAGTGGTGAACAGCCCAGGATTCCAATGAGAGTCTAGCATTTAGGAACCTTCTGGGTCTGTTCAACTGGTTTTAACTTATATGAACCATCTAGGGTTGTTCAACTGAGTTTAACCGAGCGGGTAAATTCAGAGCTCGTGGGATTGTTCAGACCAATGGTCTTGGTTTGAACTAGCAATTCAAATGGATTTAGTTTTGAGTTTGGTTTATCCATGTGCATCATGACCCACTTGAACTACCTAACTAAATCCTCAATTCTATCAATATGCTTATTTTTACTAGTTTCTTGATCATAAGTTCATAACTAATGTTTTCAATTTTTGTGTTCAGTTGATGGAAGGAAACCATCTAAATATGCATTGGAATCCAAATGCAGCACAAGAAATGGGAGGGTATGGACGCCAAACAACACATGCTCCACAGGGTGATGTCTTCTTTCATCCCCTGGAGTGTGAGCCAACATTACAGATTGGGTAAAGTCCCAACATGCTTAACCTGCATATTAGTCATCAGATAATCATTCTTCACAGTATTATGAGTATTACTATGTCTTATGAGTTTATCCTCGATTTATAAAAATATATTTCATGCTAAATTCGTGTGCCGTAGGATAGGAAGGATAGGTACTAGAGGGGTGTGTTTGGCAAAAGATGCCGCTAATTGTCGAAAGAAGTGGTTAGTTTTAAGTAAAGCGGAACAAATGTAGACTATGGATGTTTAACTTGGACTGTAATTTGCTGGTCTGGTCTGATCTGGTCTGGTCTGGTAATGTCTGGTCTCTTTGTATTTTTTAAACTATCCAAGTCTGGACTGATCTGGTATGGGATAGATTACCGTCCAAGTAAAAGCATTCATGTTAGAATAATGCCCTACATATGAATTATTGAGCCCGTATTAGTGTTTGAAATGCTCATCTTTGCTTAAACTTATCTTTTACTACCATTTAATCTTATCTTTGCATAACATTTACTCCGTATAACATTATACTATAGTACATAGTAATGTATAACCATAGCCATAATTTGAATCTGGTTGTGAGTTATGTGTATGACTAACAAATACACCTTATCTGGGACAGAGAAGGCGAGTACAGTTCTTGTAGAAAAATTCTTTATACATGTAATATACGTAGTATGCATATATCTTTGTTTGGGTACTAAGTTGTTGCGGCCCTATGTACTCAGGTACCCAACTGATCCAGTAACAGTAGGAGCAGCAGGTCCTACTTTGAATAACTATATGCCTGGGTGGTTTCCATGACTGTATGAATATATATTTATATATATATAATGCTGCTTCATGATTTGAAGTTTCATATCGACCAGAAGCTTCTGAAAAAATCAACTGAATGGTGCCCTTTTGTAAGTTTGACGATAAAAAGGGCATAACTGTCTTTCTGCATCTCTGCATAACTGTGTTGTAAAAAAGTGCCTTTTGTTTCTCTGCTTTAATGTTTAATAATTTGAATGTGAGTTTAATGCACAAGATGCTTACTTCTGTTCGAATATTCCAATTCCCCAAAATATTTTAGAATTTGTTTGGTAACACCATAATTGGCTGAATTGGCTGATTCTGCTGAAATGAAGTTGTAGCTAAAGCGGCTGAATTGACTGATTCTGCTAATTTATGAAAAGATTATATTTAAAATATTTTTTATCGATAAAATAAAGAAAAATCATATGAAAATAGACAACATGATAATCTACAATAACTTCAGTCAATACAATCAGAAAAATAATTTTAGCCTTACTTTTTCTTATTGTTAAACAATTCACCATGCATGCAAAATTAAAAATTACATGTTTAATGAAAAAAAATGGCTGATAAACCTAATAAGTCGAAAAGTATGGTCACCAAATGAGTTCTTAAAATAAACTAGAGGCCTAAGGGCAGAATTTGAAAGTTGATCATAACTTTGTTATTATTTGTTTAATTTGACCTCCCAAATCTAGTAGAGCTTGTCCACCTTGCAAATCATTAATGTACCGTTAAATCCTGATATTTTAGGGTAGTACCGCGATATGATTGGCAGAATCCGAATGACAGTGTTGGAGGGCCAATATGAGATTAATTTAATTTTTGGAGATATATATTTATTTTCATGCATATATATATAATTAATTAATTAATTTTTTTATGGGGAGATCACGGCTTCTCCCATCTCTCGAGATTCGCCCTTTCAAAATACTAGTATAATGTATTATTAACAAACAATTTCTTTTTTACATTGTTTCTTTTCTTTTTTTGAGACAAGTCTATCTTAAAAGTAACTACACTACACTTTTATAAAGTATACTCCGAATAATATTATTACAATACTATATAAGCGTATTACTTTTTATAAAGTGTACAGTAAAACTATAACATTTTTAAACCAAGTAAAAAATCAAATGGAACACATATTCTGATGCAGAGGAAGTACGAGTAAACTTCTGGGGAGTACGAGTAAACTTCTACCTAACTATGAATCTATTGATACATGAAGGCATTTGGAGTTGATCTCTGTGCAAATGATCATACATGGTTAAACCATACAATGTACTCGCTTCGAAGTTCCAATACTAGCTTATTCAACATTGATTTAACAGTAGTAGTAAATATTTTAGCTTGACATTACTAATAGGTTATTTTCAATTATAGTGTTACTAAACTCAAATATTTATTTAGCTAATATAAAAATAGTGGTTTATAGGGTTTGAGAGCTCCCTCGCTGGGCAACAAGTCCATTGAGAGCTCTTTTGTTGTTGCAACTACCAAGTCAATCATATTTTGAAGTTGCTATCATTATTGATCATCGGGCATATTACGGGTGGTGTGGAAAGTGGTAAGATACCTTGTATGAGCGATCATGTATTCCCTAAAATATCTTACTCTACCATTTCCCCATAACATTATATATCTATAAATACATTATATTGCCTCACTTAACATTGAACTCATATCATCCATTTTCTATTGATGTTGTAAACATAACTTTTTACTAAAGGTAGAAAATTTATCACGAGTTAATCTTGTAAGTTATCTCAAACACTTGATGAATATGATGACAAAAGATGTTCTTCCACTGTCATGGTAAGAGAATGGTTATGATGGGTCAAACTTTGCAATGAGCTCTAAGAGAATGGGAATGGAACCAACAAGATATTTGAGCATAAAATCTTTTTGAACTAAATCTTGATAAATGTGACGAATACTGCAAGTACCATATGTACATGGTAGAGTCAATATGTAATTATCATTTTCATCGCAAAGATCTTTGAACATATTATAGTAAGCAATGATAGATTGAGTGTCGTGAGAGATGTTACTAAGAGTTTTTCAAGATGGAAAACATGTGATCCATCACTTTTTCCATATTTAAGTTTGATTTCGTCCCAAAATCTTTTTCACTTGTTAAATACAATGAGGTCTTGCGATTACAGGTGAAGTGGAGTATACCGATCATGAACTATAAAGAGCCATATGTAGAAGGCTGCATGAGGGATGAATCCATCGAAAAACATCATCTTGTTCTTCACCGTGAATGCCATGATTATCGAAATCCTCCAAGCATTCAAGTTGTTTCCATTGAACGTCTTGTATACCATATTGGGGTACAGATTTGTTGGGTTAATGGCCCAATACTGGAAATTGGCCCATTACCCCCTCCGCGGATGAATGTCTAGGCCTAACAGGGAAGAGGGTCCAGACGAACGTTTCCGGCGAACTGGTAGCAATTATCCGTCAGGGCCCAAGGCAGCTACGACGTACGTCTCCGAAGGGTCCTCATCTCAAGGAGTCCTAGCCCAAGGTTAGCCAGCGTAATCCTACACCAACAGCCAAAAGACGCACGACCCTCTGCCCATGGGGCATCATCAAGAATAGGCCCAAGGTCCACGGGGACGCTCGTCCCCAGAGATTTGGCGGCCTACCAAGATTCTGACAGAAAGCGCATTTAATGCTGGAGATTTGGTGGTTGAGGTGCATTTAATGCTGGAGATTTGGGAGCTGAGACTCCAACCAACTACAACTCTCCACATCAGCATATTCAACTACCACGTGGTAGTATAAATAGTAACATTTATTTCATTGTAAAAGGTCAGCAACTTACCCGCCTTAGCATTCTTATAGTTTATAGCAGTGTTCGCAGCTTTTTTACTTGTGAAGCAGACGAACGGCCGTTGGCCAGGTAGCATTAGTGCAGTGTAACAAGTCCTTATAATCTCTTAATCATACTCGGCCCACTATTGCAGATACTTCTAAGCTCATCTTACTTGCTAATACCCAATATTCACACTCACTCACCGCTCAAAACCCATAGGTTACGTGTTAGGCCTACGGGTTGAAGGAATAAAGCTCAACAAAATTTGTATGGAAGATGAGCGAGAACGAATAAAGTCATGAAGGAAGAAAAGGAATCTCAATTAGCAAATTAGGGATTTTAGTGAATGAATTTGTACTCATCTATTCTCATTAAACTCCTTTTATCTATATAAAATAAGGAGGAGTCTTATTTTACACTAAGGAATTATAAATTGACCTTATAACAAGTGATTATAGAGATAGAGTTAGTAGCCTTATTATAAGACAAAAATATTTCTCTAAGAGTTCTCATTGACAAAAATATGTCTGTTTTTTAATTATGTTGGACAAAATGTGATTAAATGACATTTAATGCTCAAACCTAAATAATAGGCTAACTTAAATAACAACCCTGCAACCCACAATCAAACCTCATACACAAGCACAAGCATATGGAATATCTCAAGCAGCATGTCATGCAGGAGCACAACACCAGATCTGCCGCCGCTGGCCACCAGCTGCCGCACACATCCCGTTGTCGTCGCCCAATTGCCACTCACTAACCGCTACTTGTGGTGATGCAGTATCACGCGCCCCTCCCCATTGTGAATCCGGCCCCTTTTGATCGTCTTCTCTTTCTATTGTGTGCGACTGAGATTGACAACATCAGTGACGAACCCAACGACTATGGAGACGATAAGTGTTGAAGAGGACGAACGAATGAGATAGTAGTTGAGTGAGGCTAGGGGAGGGATTGGGGTAAGAACGTGTTTGTTAGTGTGACACCGCACCCGAACGTCCTTGAAAATTCGATTTAAAAATTCAAAGTTTATGTATTGAATTTTTTATTCCCAAACAATTGTAAAACGATTAATGTTTTACGTAATTAATGATCGATTATTGTACCGTTCGAACTCGTATATTAGTGTCGGACATACAAATACTATTTGGGACTTATTAATAAATAAAAGAGCCCAACATTATCTAAATAGTGATACATAACCTTTCAAGACAATTTGAGAAAGGTCGGGCGGCCCAAACATTACTTTGGGCTCAACCTGCTAAAAATAGCAAGTATTCGAGAATGGCGTCCAGGACCCACTCGGGAGTGACCACATGGCTAGTATCCAAATAATATGTATGACAAATGTCAAAATAAGTGATAGAATAATTAGAGAAGAATACAAATGCCTATAGCCCCATCTTTTGCATTATTGAGCTAAATAATGGGAGTAGGGTTTTTCTTCTATAATATTCATCATATAAATTATTGAGATGAGCCTACACATGTTGGAGATCAATAATGTGATGTAGTAAGTTGACTTGTTCTAAATAAATTAGGATGAGTACAAAAAGACATCTTTTGACAAAAGATAAAACAATAGGACCCATCTTCCCATTTTTGGAAGTATTGGTAGATGTTTTGGACCCAAATTGATTGGGATCACTTGGGGGAGCACCCCACACCTTCTTGGCACCTGCAAAATAAAGAGAATGAGTTAAAATCCTTGGTTAGGGCGGACAAAAAGAGAGGGGGGCTGAACAAGACATGTTTGTGAACCAAATGGACCCTCTCCCCAATTTTTATTGAAGGTATCTTGCTCCATCATCCCACATGCCAACCCACTCCTATACTTTGACTTTGGAGGCTAAGTTAAGGCCAAGATAAAACTTCCCCAGCTCTCATTCGAACTCCCCAAGATAAGAGAGAAGAAGAGAGCCACACAACCTAAGAGAGCAAGGAGAAAGCAAACTGCCCACACGTTTTTCCTCCAGTGCAAGGGTTACTTGTTTGCTTCATATCTCGAGTTATACACATCCAAATAAGGCGTATTATATACCAAAGAAAAGCTCTCAAGACGAGGAATCCGTGAAGGTATGGTTTGAGTCCATCGGAGTAGAGGAAGGCTTCCAAATCGTCCGAGCAAAACACGACCTTGCAGAAACGGATTTGCTCTCCTAAGTGAGTTTTGACCCCAAAACCTTTCCTTTCTTTTCCCTAATGATATGATCGACTTGTGGAACTATTATACCCTACTCCAAGTGTATAATATGTCCTTGTAAAGTTATTTTATTGATGTAAAGGTTGGATACTAACCTAGAGTAACTTTGGAGAAACTAGGAATCGAGTTAGCCGGAAAACACCCATTCTAGGGGCTGTTTTCGTATCAACGATTTGGGGGTTGGACTAGCACTTTGAGGAGGCTGTTTAACACTCATATTTGAGCAAGGAATCAGTTCCAAATCCACCTTGACCAAAGC